CTCCTTGGAAGGAAGATAGGGAAATCTACTTCCATAGTGATACTGCCTCTGAAACCCAAGGAGGGGTCACTGTGAGTCGGGTCCCACTCGACGGCACATAACAACAACAACAAGTTGTGTGAAGTAATCACATAAAACAGAAATATGAAGACTGTGATCTGGGAAAGGGTTTCAACCTTTGTGTGAGTTCTTTAGTGCCAATTATATAAACGTCCAGCTAGAAATGAAACAAAATGGGAAAAAACAACAACAACAAGTTGTGTGAAGTAATCACATAAAACAGAAATATGAAGACTGTGATCTGGGAAAGGGTTTCAACCTTTGTGTGAGTTCTTTAGTGCCAATTATATAAACGTCCAGCTAGAAATGAAACAAAATGGGAAAAATAACCAGTGGTATACTGGAACTACCTTTGGTAGATCAAAATCTGCCATGGTGAGACCATTTACACCATGAAAATTGGCAAATGGTACAAAATCAAGGTTTTTCCTTTTTTTTTTTTTCCTTCAAGGAGCCAGTTTGCTAGCACACCACTGAAAATAACTGTCCACAAGAAGTAAACTCTTAGCATCCATGACAAAGATATTCACATGGAATTTTTGGGAATAAATGAGTATTCTTTATTTAGGCACAGGATTTCCTATTTCCATCCTTGTAAGATTTAGTGTTGTACTATTACTCTTGGAATTCAAATTTTATGTTTTATTAGAAAAGATTTATCTAAAATAAGTTCCTGTTTCTCCTCATTAATAGCTAAAAGAAGAAAGGAGATAGACTATACATGTGACAGGAAAACCATCTGCTTTCTAGTAGCAGAAATGGTACCACCTGATAAACTATTTAGTCACTGGAACAGAGTCAAAGCCTTAGTGAAATCAGACCTGCTCTTTTTTGTGAATGACAGTGTTAAAGAATGTAACCCCTCTTAACTTCTCCACACCTCATACATACAAATTGCTTACTGAGACAACCCTCAATGGTAACTCACTTCACACCTCCATTTTCTTTCTTGTTATCACCAAGATTAAACAGCATGTTTCGGGCAATATTCTGTCTTTATCTAACCTTTTCCACACAGGCCATACTGATTCACCAGAACAGGTTTATGTACCTCACACGTCAGATCCTATCAAGAAAGTTGGTAGTGACAGTTTGATAAGGACACCATAACTTATTGAACTTGTTCTAAAAACAACAGCAGCAAACCACTCATCTCCTCACACTTTTTAATGACCTTGTTCTATGGTCTCCCCATTTTTAGATACATTACCAATGGTGTGGCCTCAGAGTATACAGTGAGCTAAGGGCATGTGATGATTTGCAGTTAGACATTACACTATTAGAAAGTCTAGCAAGATTTGTATTTACTTTAATTACCAATCGAAAAAGGAGAAGTCTAGGTGGGCCAGTGTTAACTTCCACCTTGCCTGCAGCCTCAGCCAAAATTAAAATTTATTTTGTCAGAAAATGAGGAGAAAAATTGCCAGGAGTTGCTGTCGTCTGCTGTCTAGAATGCCCAGCATTGTCAGAGAAAACGAAGAACAAGAATTCTAACAGACAAAAAGTGTTGCAGGATAATTTCCAGGGTTGTTGTTGTTGTTGTTGTTATTTGCCGTCGAGTCGGCCCCGACTCATAGTGACCCCTCCTTGGGTTTCCGAGGCAGT